CAGACTGGAAAAGAGCCATTACTTTACCTCTAGGTGTAATCCCTACTGGTTCTGGAAATGCGCTGTGTTATTCAGCACTATATGCATCTGGGTAAGTTGGGAAAAGAGAGGTCAATAAAAAAATGTAAAAYCTGGTTTGACAAATTAATAATGTTGTTTATTTTTGCTTTATTAGGGAGCCATTTGATCTCACTGCAGCCATCTTTGCAGTGATTCGTGGACATATACTTGAATTGGATCTCTGCACCATTGAAACACCAAGCCAAAAAATTTATTCTTTTCTGTCTCTTGCGTGGGGAATAATATCCGATGTTGATATTGAATCAGAGAAATACAGATACCTTGGAAATGCTAGGTTTACTTTGGGTGCTGTTATTAGAATCTTAGGCCTTCGTACTTACAGGGGGAGACTGTCATATCTGCCTGATGATGATGATAATGATGATTACAGTGATGACAGTCATCAATCCACRTCAAATATAGATGTACCAAAACAACAACAAACTCAAGATGAAGATGAATCAAGGTTTTATTCTTTTCCTAATAGTCCAGATGGATTTGATTACAATGAAAAAAGATCAGAAGTCGATGAAAAGCTGCGGAGTATTGCTGGATTGGAAAATGAGGGTTATGTAAAAAGCCCATTTACTTCAGTCARTGATATCTCTCATCAATTAAATGAATCRCCTCAAACRAAATATCTCCCTCCATTACAAAGCAAACTGCCTTCAAACTGGAAGACTGTCGAGGGTGTATTTGTTCTTGGTTGTGCAGTTCTTCTGTCTCATTTGGGACCAGATCTCTTTGTTTCTCCATYAGCCAAATTTGGCGATGGTATTCTACACATAGCATATCTGAAATCAGGAGTATCAAAGTTAAGGCTTTTATCGTTATTCAACGAGATGGAAACAGGAGGTCATTTGGATTCCACAGAATGTGTTTACCTTAAGGCACGGGCCTATAGGCTAGAACCTGAYCTCTCCCAACCTGGAACAATAGCTATTGATGGAGAAAGGATCCCTTATTCTGTAGTTCAAGGAGAGATTCATCAAGGGCTTGGTAGAGTTATGTGTAGTAGACCTTATTGAGWTTGACAATTTAGATGAGAATTTCACAGCTATTGAATAGCCGACTTGCGAATTACGCATCAATAGTCACATACAAAGGAATCAAGACGAGGCGCCGTGCTAAAGACAATAGATTTTTCACAAAAAAGCACGGCGCCTCGTCTTGATTCCTTTGTATGTGACTATTGATGCGTAATTCGCAAGTCAGCTATTTAAAATGAAATTTCCTTAACAATGATATTATAAATAATATATTCTACAGGACACAATTTATATTTGTAAAACAATTATATAGAATTATCAAAATTTTCTTTAAGAATGTAATATAGGGTGTTTTGAAAAACGCTCTTGACAAAAGGAGGGGCATTGAACGAGAYTAAGTGTTTAAAGCACCATTCTAAGTTGGATTTTATAAATTAAGACAAAATATGCAGCATAACCAGGAGCCCATCTCCTGGCRTAACCCATTGTGCTTGGAACGCCCATCTCAAAAGATAGAAAGGAGATCCAACGAAGGGAAGGACACAAAGAAGAATAAGTCCTCTATTCTATATGAAAATAATATTTTTTTGTTTGTATGTTTTTTTTCAAATTATTATCAAAGAGTCATTTTTATTTTTAATCAAAACTATTTGATGCCATCAAAAAACAGTGGTGTAGAAATATGACTGGGCATGTATTGGGATTCCTGTATCTCGCGTGTTGATAAGAGACTGGATAGTTTAATTCACGTATGGTTGAAAAATCACTTGCGAAAGCAGTTACGCGTTTCTTTTTACGCGATGATAAGTCCATGGAATTCTTGATGCTTTCATGTTATGGCCGAATCTGTGCTTCTTCAAACCTGCTTTCACCTTCTGCCGAGTAAAAAGTTATTCGAAGTTCGCTTGACGCGGAAGAAACTGTTTTACCAGCAGACGTCAATTGATTCTTGCTGGAGAACGTCGAACAGTCCCTTATTTTCGGTCAATTTGGAAGATGTTTATGGTGGAAAAGTGTTCAGGAGTAGATCACGAAATAATATAAATTCGTACTTGCATATTTTCACTTGTCCTGTCGAAGGAAAAAGAAGAGTTCGAGGAAGAATTCGGTTCAAAGTCAGTGGTTGGGAAGATGCGGATTCGAATGTCAGATGCGCCGAGAGATGGCTGAAGATGATTCTATGGCTCGTGAAACATCCTGGTATTGATGTCGATACCATTAAAGGTACTATTTAGTTTCTGTGTTTGGCTAGTCACAGTAGTCGATATAATGCTCTATAATTCCGTACTTTGTATGAACTTCCTTGATGGCGTGCTTGATCTGTAGAAAGTGCTTGGAGGGGATCAATAAATCATGAAAAGTCATCCAAAACTATAAAGAATTTATGGACAATCACGATTTCTATTTTTGTTTATGTTAATATAAAAGAAATATTAATTTTGCCCTGTAGAGTATTAAATCGACCTCTACAGTATATTATAAAATTTTTGATATATAACGCGCGCTCTGATTGGCTGACGACCGTGTTTATATCAGAGGACAGAGACACGGCTTACCGGCAAAACTTTCTTTTCGTTGAAAAACACTCGAGAAGCAAGAGAAACACTCGCTACGCTTGTGTTCCTAAGCTTGCTTCTCTCGTGTTTTTCGAACTCCCACCGTGTTTATATCAGAGGACAGAGACACGCGCGCCGTTTTATATTTCTTAAGAAGTACAATGCTGTACTTCCTGTATTCATTAGAGTGACAGCATTTTCTCAAGGAGGGGTATACATGGGTGTTTTTGTGTGTTATTCAGTTCTGGCCTGTTATTAGTAGCAGTGTATTGAAAAGTGGTTATGATGCAATAATTTTAAATCTYACAATATAAGGTGTTAAAGACATTTCATTTTTGGAGTCCAATTTGAAAYAATTGATCGTTTTCACCCATTCCCATGAGATTGAAAAGATAAAAGACCGGCGGCCATGTTGGAGGGATGAACCATAGATACTAATGAGAAATCCTTTGTTTAAGTTCCTCCAAGATGTCCGATGTGATGTAACCTGCAAATGAAGAATGAGTTTCCCTTGTATCATGGAAGAATTTACAAGTTTTTAACAACAGTGAAAACTGCATCCTTCGTTTGTAGCCACCCCTGTATTGTCACAATACAATCAAGCAGTATGACTTCAAAATCTTGTTAAGCACTGATCTGTGTAATTTTCTGAATTCAGATAGAAAACTGCCATCCCAGCGCAAGCTGCTTGTATTCGTCAACCCCTGCAGTGGTTCAGGAAAGAGTTTGGCAATCTTTAAAAAAAACGTGGTACCAATGTTCACTGAAGCTTCAATAGACTACACTTTGCGTGTTACAGGTATTTAATATATTATTTGTGTTATTCATAAGGTGTGTTTGTGAAATCCTAATATATCCTCCCTTAACCCTCTTAATTTTGAATTTTCTTTCAGAGTATGCTGGTCATGCAGAGAAGATTGCATTGGAGCTTAATATTGAGGAATGGGATGGTCTTGTGATTTGTTCTGGAGATGGGTTGGTTCATGAGGTTGGTATGCAGATCGTACAAGCATGCAATGTGTATAATGTTATGAACAAGCCTTAAAAGTAGGACAGTTTAACAGCAATATTGTTTTATGTGTGATCTTCATGATTTCTGAGTATTTGACATGGCTTGGTACTTCARGTTTCGATTCTCAAGTGAATACCACTGTCATTCTTAAAATGGGAATTCAGCCCTTTCGCTCCCTTGTCCATCCAAACACAAGATACTCACAAATTACCATTATGGATCATATTTCAGCTTGTTAATGGACTTATGAAAAGACCAGACTGGAAAAGAGCAATGACACTACCTATGGGTGTGATCCCTACTGGCTCAGGGAATGCTTTGTGTTATTCGGCACTATATGCATCAGGGTAAGTATGCATGGATAACATTATCTGGGGGAGAACTTCATCCACCTTTTTTTACAAAAATAGACACTGATGGACACTTCAATGAATAATATATTTATAACTAATGSTAATGATGATTAATATTGTCAAATGTATGAACATAACTGTTTCTAATGGTGTGTTCAATAATGTTTTGATTCGAATTATGTTACAGGGAGCCATTTGATCTCACTGCTGCAGTCTTTGCAGTGATTCGTGGACAAACTCTTGACTTGGATCTCTGCGCCATTGAAACACCAAGCCAAAAACTCTTCTCTTTTCTRTCTTTATCTTGGGGCATGATATCTGATGTTGATATGGAATCAGAAAAGTACAGAYGCCTGGGAAATGCTAGGTTTACTTTGGGGGCCATTATCAGAATCCTTAATCTTCGTACTTACAGAGGTAAACTTTCATACCTTCCACCTGATGAAGCTGAACATCCTACCACAAGTTTAGATCTGCCAAAGGAGGAAACCAAGAATGAGGACGATGATTTAGCAAACTTTTATTCTCTACCAGGAAGTCCTAGTGGGTCGTTTTATAACAYAAAATCTGCACCAGAAGAAAAACCACCTAAAATTAATTCAAGCCATGAGAATATTGGCATGCTAGACAGTGCGCATCCATCAATCAATGATATATCTCAAACTGTTAGTGAACACAGAGGTACCTTATCTATGCCTTCAATAGCAAAGCRATTGCCATCAAACTGGAAGACAATCGAAGGTGAATTTATCTTAAGCTCTTGCGTTCTCATCTCACATCTTGATGGTAATTGTAACTTTGCACCTGAAGCAAAGTTTGGCGATGGTTTTTTGTACATGGCATACATCAAGTCTGGTGTTTCAAAGCTGAGATTGCTAGCTATATTGAAGGAAATGGAGACAGGCATTCAAGTCAACTCAGACGACTTTTTTATCTTAAAAGCGTGTGCATTTAGATTAGAGCCAGATCTCTCTCAACAGGGGACAATGGCTGTGGATGGAGAAAGACTTCCATATTCTGAGGTTCAAGGAGAGGTGTATAAAGGGGTTGGACGAGTAATGTGTAGCAGACCTTACAGTTTTTGAACTGCAACAAGAGCTGGAATAGTAATATATTGTAGAAATAGCCCCTTCTTTTTTCCTAACTTKAATCCAACCTACCACATTTTTCTTTGGAAAGGAGGAAAAACTGAGAGGATGGAAGACAAAGTTGAAGACTCATAGATCATTCCTTTCCCTTTTTCATCCTGATAGTTTTTTACTCGACGAGCTAAAATGAAAAGGGAGATGGAAAAGCGGTTCAGGCTGAAGTTCAAGAAAGTCAAATGGGCTATACTTTTCCTTTCCCAATATTTTATTGTTGTCATTGAGATCAGAAATGCCTTTCCGCAGTGAGCAAACTAAAAGAAAAATAAATATTAAAGTCTTTCATTGATACGAATATAAAGCTCTGCACTGGAAATCATATATTGAAAATRACTGAAAAAAGTATATTATTTAATTGACAATTTGAAATGTAACAAAAACGAAAACTACTGACATCATATCCATGTATAGTCAGTCTTTTAAATTATATTTAATCACAATGGAATCGTTATATCTTAATTAATAGTAATTAATAATAATTAAACTTATTTGATAGTGTGCTGCAATAGTTATTGTGTTAGCTAATTAATATGGAATTTTGGAATATAGCAAAAACAGTGAAACACGGTGTAATCTTATAAGTTTTTTAATTTCAAACAGCTWTATTGTTGTATAAATGATGACCTAAAGCCTGGTTTTCACTTTGTTTTCACTCTATTTGTTCAATACAAACAGATGTTTGTCTTTCTTTGCGATACAAGCTATGTTATGCTTATGTCGACGTCTTATGTTGCAGGACTTCATTCCTTTGGCTTTTCGTATGTTCYAGGCTTATGACTATGCTTATGTCCTAGTGAAAACCAGGCTTAAGGCGTCATTTACACGTGCGTTACTTTTCGTAGCGTTATTTTGTATTCCATACTACATGTATGCGGTGTGGACGAGAAGGTATATTATTAATGCTAGTACTAAATAATTATTTTAACTAATTTACTTGTGTACAGCCTTTTGCAAAAATTATGAGAATTGTCTAAATATCTAAATATCATAATATACATATCCATATATTGTCCAGAACACGCGAGTTTGCTAGAATAATTCATTGTTGACATCGAGAAAATGTTCAGAACTACGGATAAGTCCGTCACCGCCGAAAAAAACTAAACTACACAGACAAAGGACAAACGGGAATCGCGTGGGATTACCCATCATGCAATTGATATTATGATATTTAGATATTTAGACAATTCTCATAATTTTTGCAAAAGGCTGTACATCAACTACATTATTAAATATCGTATTCGATATGAAGAATCTATTTTATCAAAATATTTGATTGTCACATATAATTATAATTGTATATAAATAAGAAGTTCTAAGATGTATTTAATGCTCATGAATGTAATGTATACGTGTCCAGAATTCACATGAATAAAACTATATCCCTCTACGACGAATTGGAATATTTAGCTATTTATTATGGTTTTCAAAAATTCCATCAAAGGTATATAGCAAATTTGTACGATCTTCAACCCATACGGTGTGTGACTCGGTCTWCCGGCAACAAAAAAGTGATATTGACTATTCAAACTAGACTAATATARCAGATGTAGCTAATTTACAATTGTATAATTTTATAATTTTCTAAAGATCGATTCGATAAATGGCCTTTCAATTTGAATAGCTACTCACTGAAAAAAAAAGAGAGTAGCTTGAATGCCTCTTTAGTGCACCTCATTTTCGTCTTAATCGGTTTTCACAAATTGAGTGCAATTTTTTTCCGCTTTTCTTAGAAAGTAGCAATAACTTAGTGACCTTAGTGGTCCTTTGTTTACCATCTTATCAGCAGGCAGTTTGAAAATCCAGTATTTTAGCCGACCTTTTCTCGTACGTGACGGCGAGCTTCTCCCAGAGTGTAGACACCAATCGTCATGATCAAAATTACAATTCATGGAAGATCCAGAACATTAGAAAGGATGTGTGAGGAGGAGGGGGGCGGTTTGCGTCTGGCTACTGAATCAAGAAAAAATATCAGTGTATAAATTAGGGCTGCGAAAAATTAGTCCCATTCAGATATTTTACTCCAAGTAAACTTTGTTGTTCATTATTCTAATCATAATTTCTATTCCTGTATTTTTRATCCCTAAAAAATCGATAAAGAGGGGTGGTTGCAGTCGTCCTACGTACAACGCCCTCAGTCATATTATTGTTTTCAGCTTAATTTATTTTCGTTTCTCTGATTTTTGTTTCTTTAGTTTGGGAGARATCAAATTGTCAAATGACATCGTTACTAACTAATACTTTTTCTTCTGCGGATAGTCTGTATAGATTTGCACTATGTGCTGAACTCACCAGAACGTTTAAAATTATTTAWTTACAATTATTTTCAGGTTGGCATTCCTTTCCGGAGCGATATTTTTGTTGTTGAACTGTATAAACAACAACCAATGGTTCTGACAAATTCATGTGTGGGTAAAGTGTGACGTTTTTGCGTAGTTCAAGCGTGCCTTTYTAGTATATAACCTAATATTGCCGGCAAATATTTTGTGGGAGGAAAAATACAGTCAATAAAATTTGTATACCTTCTTAGTCACGCACAAAAAAATCCAATGTCTTTGTTAGGTTCAGAGTTCTATGGTTCAATTTAGTACATGGATTATGAGCGCAAGTCAAGATGGTCTAGKTATAGTTATAGCGCGTACTTTAATGATCAGCTATCTAACTCTATTTAAATGTTCTATAATCTCTAGCGTTATTTAGARCCTCCTTTAGTTCAAACTTTTAAAAGTGATATTCAACCTGTTTAATTTTTCCGTCGATCGTTCGTGTTCAGTAAAATCCGTCGGGTTGTGATCGTACCAGATGTTCGTCACTGTTCGGAGTTTTGCCGAAGTTKCCCGGAAAATATAGGAGAACATTTACCGGAACATTCCAATTCAGTATTTTTGTCGGTTATGACTATAAACAAAAGATGCGAGCAAATAGGTTGAAAATAGTTCTATATTCTGTCAGTATTGTCAAAAGTTGTCAATATAAACATCACGTTTTGACTGACATGACGTCAGAACTGGAAGTGTAAACAATGCAAGCATTTATAGTACAGTGAAGTTACTCATATCTCGTGTGAACAACGCACTCTAAATTTACCCAACCACCCACGCTATAGTTTGTGTTGTACATTCAAAACTTACTGCTATATCAAGCAGTTACCATTTTTAGACTTTGTCTGTCAGAGAAAACCCGTTTAACGTCTGATACTGAGGGTGGAGGGTTATATAAATGTCTGTCGCCGGCCCTGATGATATAAATGGGCGTTGGTCCGCTTTAATTTCGTCCCCACAACAAATGATTGGTTATGCTCAACAAGGAACTCACAGTCTACTCAAAACAAACCTTTTGTCYTCACACCCAAATAAACTTCACCCTTCGTCATTGCGTTGTTTATGTCAATAAACGCCTTAAATTTCTCGAAGTGGCTTAATTACAGCGTCTCGCTTCGCTCGTTAATTTATCGGAAGTGAACAATGTAACTTCGGAAATCCTCGACCCGCGCTCGCCAAACTTCGGCCTCATATGGTATGCCAACCGATTCAGAAGCCTAAATTTTCCTTCGGCGAAAAGCAGCTGAATTTACTTTAGTTAACCGGATCTAAAATTAGAAAGGCTATTTATAGGTCGTTGTTTGCGGCCAATAGCATACAAGTCGTGTTATTATTCGCTGGCCCACGCCACATGATGACCGTCCAACATGGCTGCCACAACTAAAGCCAAGCGTTCGGGGAATAACTGGGTCAAATTAAATGTCGGTGGAACTTGTTTTCTAACGACGAAGCAAACCTTATGTAGACATCCAAACTCTTTTCTGTCTAGATTATGTGCAGAAGACCCCGATTTACCGTCAGATAAGGTCAGTATGAACACTCGCCCGGTGTGGTTGTTGTCAGTAGTAGCTCACAGCCTTCTTGTTAAGCTTACATTTCGTTTAATATGTTTTAGGATGAGAGTGATGCATATATGATCGATCGAGATCCTCGGTATTTTGCTCCTATTCTCAACTACCTAAGACATGGAAAACTTATAATAGACAGAGATCTTCACGATGAAGGTAAATCGATAAAAGGTTGAGCGAGATGGAGTCTCACTCGTCCTTTTTAAAATGGAATACAAAACTTCGAAGACCTCCAGCCAAACATGTCCTTTTAATTATCATTAGAAGTCTTCGTGTTTAATATTGCCATTTATACTGTGTTATTCAAAACTGCGCCTCTTATGAAAGGAGTAAAACTCAAAGGAATCACATCGTAAACTACATTAAGCTTACTTGGGTTTATAAAACATGCAAAATAAGCCGTCACATCGTTTTGACGACAAAACCGAGTAAAAAAGCCATGAAAATAACGAGCCCAAACAACAACGAGGGAATCTGTTACTTTCCTCGACTGATGCGGGTTTATGTAGCTTTAAAATCATAGTATTTTGGACGATTATGAAGAGTTCGTTTGACACATCGGTGTTGTCGAATTACTAACTTTCAAAGTCAGACTTAAATTTAAATCGGTGAATAAATAACTCTTAAAAATTCAGCAAAAATATATTGCAGCATTTGATAGCATTGAATTTAACCTGTATTTTGGTGATTTTTTCTTTTRAACAAATCCCCCCACTCTCCCATCCCTTGCCATTCTTGTTGCTATTCATGTTGGAACAGTCTTGTTTTTAGCAACTCGTAGTTGTGCAAGCATTGGGATTGAATGTGAAACAACTGAATTAATCAATTTGACATATAGTAGTCCTTGCGGGCCATGTTTCTGTATAAATAAAGATTACACTGCTAGGTTTTAGGGACAAGAAGTTGATAGTCCATAAGGCTGTAGTATCTACCAAATTATAGCAGAAATTTGACTATTCAATTTTCCAATTTATTTCATTTATTTTTGTTTCACTCAAATGGGAACATRGTCTATCATGAATAGACCATAGTTCAGTAGCCAATCAGAATGCTGGATTTGTGACAGCGCATAGTTTGGTGGTATATAGTATACAGTCTTATTGTCTGATTCTTTGCAAGGATAGGCAATTAGAKCACTGTAAAAAAACCATATGCAGTTTGTTTTTTACCACATATTTAGTCTAAAAATGAGCAAAAATCATTCATTTCTTTCAACTGAACGCGMACAAGATGTGATGGTGTCGGCAAAGTGTGCATGTCATGTTACTAACACACTTTGATCAGCCAATCAATGCATGAAAATTTGGTMAAATTAGTATATTTCATCCATGTATTTATGCATTAATACCCTTCGTTCATCTACTTTTTCACCCATTTATTTATTCATCAATGCATTTATCCCCAAGGTGACCGTTTAATARAGGTTTGGCTTCTATTTATGATAGTTAACTAGTAGTATTTATCCAAATATCAAAGAAACTCTTGTCTAATTMAATTTTAAATTCCAGGTGTACTTGAAGAAGCAGAATTTTATAGCATAGAACCTCTTGTAAAGATTATAAAACAAAAAATACAAGATAGAGAAGACAGGCAAAAAATACCAGTAAGTGTGTATCTRCGTAGCATTATTGAAAGATGATTGGAGACAAGGATGGAGTGAGAGAGACTGGGGAAGGCGATCAATRTAGTGTTTGAAAGGAAGGGATTTTCAGAAATTTGTAACTTAAAATCGAACATTTTGCAACATGTGCATGTAGATTTTCATCACTATAACAATTATTCTTGACATATACATTCTAGGATGAACTAAAAATCCATAATCAATATTTCCTCTTTCTAGCTGTTAGCAAAGAAACATGTTTATCGAGTACTGCAATGTCATGAAGATGAGCTCACACAAATGGTATCCACAATGTCTGACGGATGGCGGTTTGAGCAGGTTGGAATATAACTTGTTATTATTTTTGATGTACTATTGATGAATCAGTTGATTGGCAGGTTGTTGAATTGATTGGTTAACTGATGGATTGATTGCTTGATGACTGATTGATTGATGCAATGATTGATTGATTGGTTGATTGGTTAATTTGATTGATCTAGTGAGTAGACTGATTCCTTTCCACATAGGTTGGATAAATTATAATCCTCTTTCTTGTTTATTCTCCCAACAGTTAGTCAGTGTAGGCAGTAACTACAATTACGGCAGTGAAGACCAGGCAGAGTTTCTGTGTGTTGTATCAAAAGATGTAACAGATACGGCTGAAGCAAGTGGATCATCGAAACCCAAGCAATCCGACAAAGCACCTGTAAGTTAAACCTTAGAGCGGATTTCGTATGAGTGGGACACCGTTACCGCACGGTTACCGCACAGTTACCGCACCTGGCCTGCACAATTTTGGTGAACCAATGGGGCACTAGAATTTGGTTACAGTACGATTACGGTCACAGTACAGTACCGTCCGTTTCCCACTCATACGAAATCCGCTCTATTATGTCTTGGTATACAGATATTTCAAAAAAAAAACATTGAATACTAAAGACTGCCATGCACTGCTGGTCGTTCTAATTCATTTGTACCAAATTCTTTGAAAACCAGATGGTATGAAAAGAAACAAACGGTTGGAGTAATTTTTGGAATTTGGGAGATATTTAGAAAATAAAATAGCAGTTGTTTGAAGCTTGATCAATATGGGAATCACTTGAAATATGACGTCAAATTACTAACACTGTATAACTTCAAGAATCCTTTATACTGCTAGTAATGCCAGTAATTTTATATTCTACTTTAAATAGGGGAATAAAATTCTCAACAAGAGTGAAAATACAAAGCTGAGAATGAGATATTCTGGTGTAGAACTATAATACAATTTTACTAATTTTTCCTATTATCATCTAGCATTAATACCTGGTTAAATTATTGAGAGTTAAACCRTGTTTGTTTGGTGGTTTTTGTAAGAATATATGGGTTATTTGGTGTTTTAAAATCCACTTTTAAGCAATGTGGTTCCTWGTTAATATGTTATCTAATGCAGTTTTACTTGTTTGTTTTTTTCAGAGGCATTTTAGAATGTGACCAAAAATCATTTATTATCAAAACCAAAGAAGTAAGATTTAACAAAACATTTTAATGAAGAAAGAAAGATAGGCATGATATATAGTAGAGAATATGGACATAAGAGACAATCCTGATTGAGTTTCAAGTTGTTTCAAAAAAATATGGAAAAAAATTGGAATTAGTGTTGAATTTTGTTCAAAGACATGTTAAGTGGAATTTGTCGTCAAAGAATGCTTATAAAGAGTCTGCTGTGAAGATGTTTGGATGTAAACAAAGTCACTAGTAAACAAAGTCGCTAGTAAAAACATTGAAAAGTATACATTCTGCTCTAAAGCTGCCAAAATGGATGCTCTCAGCAGTTAAGTCATGGGGATGTCTACTCAAAGTTTGCATTGAAGCCATTCAGAACTATGCAATCAGAAGTAGTTCCAGTAAAGTATATGCTATACTGTGTGGCCTGGCTGAAAAACCTTTGTCATTTATGGAATAACAGCCTTACCATTGCTTGCAAGATAGCAAGAAAAGCGCTCAAGTTTACTAGGGAGACSATTCAAAATCTWGTTGGGTTGAAAATCCAAAGCCATGCATTGTAAAGCAATCAAGGTGCTAAGCTGTTGGATGAGGAATGTCACTCAATTGACCTGATTGGCTAATACTTTGCTATGTAAGTTTCTACCCACAATACACCTTTACGTAAAAGAAGTATTCTTAAAAAAATACAAAATTCAATATTATTAGCCTTTCTCTCAGTGGGTTTTGGTAGAAATATGAATAGCAACATATTGGCCAATCAGGTCTATTGTATGCCGTAATAATAAGTGCTACATTTTCCTCAGAATCTAATAATATTTAGAATAAGGCAAGAGTGTGGTAACTTCTTATGGATGTCTATTCTGGAGTGCCATTTAAATTCCACACTGATATGGAGAAAAACATAAAATGCTTATAGCTATTCAGATACATACAGCTGAATTCTAGAACATTTCAAGAGGAATAGCAGCTATTTAGATCTTGTGAATATGAATTATAGAATGCAAGCTATATAACCGTGAAACACCAATGACTAAATTTGTGCAAAATATCTCTAGTCAAACAAAAGAAAGTATTCRCATGATAAAGTACAACATAGAACTAATGTTGAACGGATATATTGTAAGCATTCTTACTGTTCCAAGCAAACCAATGGATTGAAATTTTTAAATGATTTAAATTGCATTTAAAAAGTTTAATAGTAAAACATTTATTCAGCAGCGGTGGGTACATAATTTAACATACCTATCRGCGAATGTTTCTGGTTTACTATTAGACTTGTAATTAGCCTTATGAAAAACCCAAAAAGTGCAAAAATTACCCATGAAATCAAATCAAAAATTTTAGGAATTGTTGTTTACATTAATAGGGGTGGGGAACGGCAAAATTTGACACTGTTCTGACAGTGATCAAGTTTTGAACATCATTTTGAAGAAAAATGTGGACAAAATCCATCTAGTTTGTAAAAACCTTGAAAAAAATACCATAATTTGACAGTTTTTTAAGGTTTTGAGACACATTTTATTTCTGTTCTGAAACCCCTATTGATTAAACATAAATGAATATGATTTTAATATTGAGAGTTATTCCATCTTCATTGGATTAGTTTAGTGTAATCAGCTGAAGTTTGATAACTGACTATTTTGATGACCTCAGCTGTAGTTCTTTGATTCTATTTCATGCTTAGACCATATTATGCACTTTAGAATACTTACTGCCTTATTATGATCAAAAAATATTTCTTATTTATTGCTAATAATTATGATTGTTGTCATGTGAAGCAGTCATGTGTCTTGTTCTATGTGTTTAACTGTTGAAATCCTGAGAATATGAAACTTCTAGAGAAATAAAAATGAACAAAAAATTATCAGGAGTTTGAAATATCAAAGATGCTTTAGATTAAAATGTATTACTTGCAGTAGTTAAATAATCATTAGTTGTTCTCTACAGGACTTCACAGAAATAGTTCCTTRACAAATGAGCAGTAAATCCTAAGCCCATAAAAGACGTTTAGTAATGATAATTATTGTTCCATTGTCTGGTAAGGGATTTTCTTGTCAACCGTGAAGTAATCTAGAAAAGCTGGACATGAATCCTGTGATTTCTACATTTAGCAMATGAATTTTCATGGAACATTCTACTAGTTTTTTTTAAAAAAAGTCTTGAAACATGCTAAAACCCTCTCTAAATGGAAGCCTTTCACATAGTTAGCTTCATTTAGTGGTTTGTCACGTAGACTTTGTAGTCTGTCATTATCAGGTAGGTAAAAATTCCTTTACATATAAGAAGCAAGATAACCTGTGAGCCTGCAATGGAAATCTCTGAAAGAAGATTTCTATCATTGTATGTTGTGCTGAAATCTTTCATTTAAGTTTCTCTTATACACTGTCACACAGTTAGCTATGTACATACACTGTCACACAGTTAGCTATGTACATACACTGTCACACAGTTAGCTATGTATACACTGTCACACAGTTAGGTATGATGGAAAGATATATATCACTATGATTTCTAATGTTACTTGCTGTATCAAAACAATTTCAAGGTTAAGAATTCATTTTAGATTCTGATTTTATCCCATTTTTAGAGAACAACGGGATAGAATTTGGAAAAAAATTGCAAGAACATACAAAGATATTTTTCATTTGGCAAATGCAGAAGAAAAACAGGTAATTAAAATCTTATCACAAATGATAAAAGTGAGAAATATGAATGCAGTTTATACTCCTGTTTTTGTTTGGATAAAATCCCCTTGGTTCTGATTGGTTTTAGCCTCTATCACAGGCGTTCTTAGTCTCGCCACGAAAATTCCTGGCGAGTGAATTTTCGTGGCGAGACTAAGAACGCCTGTGAGAGAGGCTACTGTTATGTTTCGTTCGCTTTCGATTGACAACAATCCCTGTAGTGGGGGCGGGCTTCTGGTTGGATGRAAGTATCATAGAACACAGGAATATGTGAAAATAGATCTTTATATAAAACAAAAACTACAAAAATTTACAATGAAGGAAAAGTACCTTCCTCATACATGGCGTGATAATCAAAATAGAAAATTTCTTGAACTTTTAATTTGCTTTGTCGCACGGTCTTCCTGTGGYGTTCTAATTAACGTCATGCAAAACGTCATCAAGTTGATAAGTGACGTCACAATCGCTAATTGAAACCAGATTGATCGAGATTTAATTGAATCAAGACGTGTTTTTTTATATACTGCGAAAATAATCAAAGTTAACTTTCGTTGAACAGCTTTGCTGCATCCTTATCATGGGATGTATGCAAAGCAAACCATTGTGTAAATGCCAATGCTTTGGCAAAAGGGACAAATCTCTAGATGAGGTAAATAAATAATTTTCAATTTTGACGTTCACTTTTCATTTCACAATTCTAAAAACCACGTTCCTTGTCTTTTCCTTCGCGACCATTTAACCGCATTTCATTTCATATGTACGGTTCAATCCTTTCTATATCTACTCACTTTCATTTCCATTGTGTTGATATTCATCCTAGTTTTTTTGTTTTCAGATTTACAAAGTACCATCCTGTACGACTGAGGTAAGATGTCAGTGTTAGCAAAGATTAGGCATACCATCACATAAGATTATATAGTACGAATATCGTTTAGCGATAAACTAAAGCGTAGCGTTATAAGGTTGCAAGGTTTAAAGAGTGTGGGAAGAGCGTCCATCGAGTCCGGCATCGTCCAGCATTCCATTATTGACAAGCTATCTTTAGATTTGTGCATCCCAACCAATCACAACCTGGAACTCATGAATCTCGTGCGCGGGGTGTGATGGGATTAAATCAAAGGAGGAAATACTGCGAGCTGTCGGCGGCGATAAAAAGTGATTTTTCAGATAAAAATCTTACCTATATGCATCAAGTAAACATTTTTGTGAAACACGAAGAAAACATTCTTCAATGTCGGTTACATTTAGTGAAATTTTGAAGCGATATCGGCTCAAAAATCACTGAAATTGTGTTGAGACAAAGAAAACTAGAGTCAACCAAAGCAAACTTTAACAAAACGAAGGGACAGAAAAAAAGATGAATCTAAAAAAATTGTTTTATGATGAAACCTTTACATCAGGAGAGAAAGATTATTGCCTTGAGAACCGTTTACTGTTTTACAGGTATGTTGATCTGTAAATCATTTTAATGAAAATTATTTGGAGTTCTGGATMTTTTAGCGTCTGGTCTTTTGAACCACCATGCTGGATCACAAAACTTGCAATGTCTGTCAAATCACTTTTTTATCGTCTAAGAAGTTCCTAGGAAGGGAGTTTTGTTTTGTTCTTCTTTAGTTAAATAATTGCTCGCAAAACAGATTATAATTTACTTTTGAATTCTAATAACTTAACTATTTTCATGTTGTTAAACTCACTTCTTGTTGCTTCCTTTTTGACTATTTTAAAAATTATTTTAAAAACTATTTTAAGTTTAAAAACGTAAGTACTAATAAACTTGATTTCTTCCATTCTCATTTAAGCTTATATCGTGTATTATGTGGTTTGCGCTATTGAACTTTATGCAATCCACTCTTCCTTGAGGTAAATTGTAGTCCGGGAAATACTGTGAATAACTTCTTGCATTATCTTCAGGCTTCYCTTGAATCTTTGGAGCGAGAAATCATAAGATTTAAGGCGCGTCAAGAACAAGCAGCACGAAGAAGAAGTAGTTCTAGTTTAAGTAAGTTGCATTTCA